CCTCGTTTCAGGGAGTGGGAAGTTGAAGGGGGGGTGGTTGGCTATCGCGATACAAACTCAATCTCTAGAGGTGCTAAGGGACCAGTGATTGCCTCGGAAGCGTTGTAAGCGCATGTAAGCGCTCGCCAGGTACCGTTTGCTGCATACACCGCCCACAACATAGTGATCCAGCTAAATTATATGAATTAGCGTCTGTTTTTTGTTTGTTTTCATGACAGGCACACCCATGATGCGACCTACGACCGAAAGGGCAGCGATTATGCCAACGATTGCTCGAAAGCTATGAGTCATCCAGTAATCCACTGCGTAGTCCATCTAAACGCCAGCGTCAGCCAATAGCAGATGCTGAGCTATCTTATAAATACAAACGACCGATTCTGCGAGCGAGCGTCACAGCAATTATGCACGCGCAACGGTTTTTCGGTAGGAAGTCACAGCGCACCGGAGTTGAGCTCTTGCGCGACCCATTGCTTAACAAGGTATTTTCTTGCACAACACCTCCCACGCTTACCTTCATTTATTTATTTATTTAATCTATTTTCGTCTGTACGCATCACCTTCTCTATTTACAGGGCAATAGTTTTACGGCCAAGGAACGTAAGGACCTCAGTTTGATAGGCCTGTTACCGGTGCTGGAAGATGCGGCCTCTGATACGGAAAATAGCTATCAGGAGCTACTGGCGTTGGAGCGTCTTCGAAAGTTATCTAACGACTTGGACAAGTATGACTACCTCATGCGACTTTATGACACGGACAAAATTCATTTCTTCCGCCTGATTGGTAGGAACGTGCCGGAACTTTTGCCGTTGGTTTACACGCCTACTGTTGGCCTTGCCTGTGAGAATTATGCTCTGGTGCACGGCAATGGACGGTTAGTTGACCCCTATTTTTTCGTATAGTCTTGAACCGTAGCCGTTAACGACTGAGGGTCTGTTCCCAGTAATACTTTTATCACACCGCTGATCATAAATGGTAGGGCATTTTACTTTTCTTAAGACGCCTGTCCGTTGCAGAAAACAGTTATCGATCCTAATGTGATTTTTGAGGACCAGTGCGACATTTTTATGAGTCTGCTCTACATAATATACTTAGGATCTTGATATAAAAGTTGTGTATATTTTTTAGTGTGGATTTTTTTTAACTTGTTCACATCATTCCGCAACTTATTTACCTAACATTCAGAATACGTTGGGCCTAGTCTTCTGTTTCCTCAGTCCAGACAGTACAGTGTACGGAGTTCTTTGAAATCCATAGCGCAATATGCTAAGGGTAACTTGTATGGTTTTCACGGGAACAGGAACGCCCCACCCACATAAAATGCATGGCCTTGCGATAATCTTCCATAAAGACAAATGTTCCAGTGCCTTAACCCTAACATAAAACTGTTATCCTACTCTTAAACCTAGCCTCACCCTCACCCTTAGCCTAAACGTTACAGTTAACATGGACTCACACCTTAACCAGTTACCGTAGATCCGATCCTGACTGCAAATCTGATCTTACTTCCAACCTTAGACCTAACCCTCACCTTAATCCTAAATCTAAGTTCTCTGGAAGTTGGCGCAAAGGCACAAGTATTTTGGGTGGTTCCTGCTCCCCTGTCCTGGTAAGGCGGCCATAAAAATTATCCTTACCCACACTATTGTCCACCAGATACAGTCAGGACCTCTACTCACTTATTTTGGCTAACCGATATTTTTCTTCTTTCAGCGGACTTTTCATTCCAATTACCGAAGCAGGCAATATTGTTTCTATCCTCGAAAACTGGCCAACAAAGGATATTCGGGTACGCCCTTCCACACAATGTTTATCTTATCAGTACTCACTTCCCATTTTGCCCCGTGTAGTTAGTTACAGTTTCCACTGAATTCCCATTCATACCCTTAAACCGTCTCATCTCGGTATCGGGAAGTTTGATGCCTTATTTCCCTGACTTGGTGGTTAGAGGACCAACTTGTCATTTCAAAGAGAAAACATCCTGAATTCTGCGTTAAAAGTGTTTATGTACACACATTCCTGACTAAAAATTAGAGTGATGCCCAAATTGTATTGTGTAAGTCGCAAAGTAAGGCTTCCTGTGAAGGTCTGGCTCATGGAATGCACTCTACTTATATCGTTATTGGATGAATATCGCTCCCGAATTAGTCTAATGGTTGACCTGCATTTATCATGCCGTCTCAGTTGTGATCGAGTTCTGCTATGCCTTGGCAACGATCGGAAATGTGGGCCCACCTAGACAAGGGCGGCAAGGATTAATGTGCTACAGGAATGGTGTTACTATAGACTTTATGGGTGGGGTAAAAGTAATTGAAATAAAGCTGTTTTGAGGAGCGAATTTCATGCACGCCTCTAGCTTGTTTAACTGGGCCCCAACGAAGCGTAAAGGCGTGAGTACACAATTGGAGACACAAAGGAGCCTCGGGGGACGAGCATTCACATCTAGGAGCATTTCAGGTAACGAGTGGGCCACTTGCAGAACATTTGTTTCGCTCGACGAGCTTCCGCTCCGTTAAAGAGTTGCCAGTGCGTGTGTGTGTGTGCCTGTGTCCGCCGTTGAGTCTTGCTCCCAGGGCGTGGGTCCTTGGTCGCCTGCAGTCAACCAGTGAACTGATGCAGGTGGATTCTCCTTCCACATGTAACTCCCCTCTTCCTCTACACCTCCCCATCGTCTCCCTCAAGCCAGCAACGACTTAAAACAGTTAAAAAAAAACATTCGTGACAAATGCATATATTCTAGACATATTATCAAATTTTATATTGAGGTTTTTCGGTGGTGGAGCGGATTTATTTTATTCCCATTGTTTTAAATGGGGAAGTTCGGTTCACAAGACAAGCGTTTAACATGGTGAGTTCGTCGTCGGAACGGATTAAACTCGTTAACCAAGACTCCACCCTACTTGAAGTAGTCGCTTTAAAAGGAAGGAAACTGAATATTGAAGGCGTCGGTTGGGTACTTCAGACGAGCCGATTCCGGCCCGTGATAGCTAATCACAGCGAAGGAGAACGTAAAAAGAATACCACTTTAGCATCGACTCTCTTGAGGGCCGCGACAGAAGGTCGAATTGAAGTTGACATCATTATGAGCTTTACTCGTAACCCACGGGTTTTAAGACTAGCGCTTAGGCTTATTCCTAACGCCCACATTCAAAACTAGCTCTGAATTCGAAGTCTACCTACCTATCTTCCTATTCTCTGCAGGCCGTTGTCGTGACAGACGGGGAGGAAGTCCTCGGATTGGGAGATCTCGGCGCATACGCCATGGGCAGCGTGGTAGGCAAGTTGGCTCTGTGCCCCGCTCTCGCGGGTATTCAACCGGAGACCTGTCTTCCCATCGTCCTTGATGTGGGCACTAACAACACGGTGAGCTCTCAAGAAACTAAGCTTCCTTTTTGACCTACGCGCCATTATACAGTTGTTTTTTAATTTCAATGAGCACACCTAGTGTGGGAACTTAACCCAGACGAAACACTGCTGCTAACCTAGTATTACGACATCACAGTGTGCATCTCTTGCTTCAGTGAACTGTTAATTTATTGACACACTTAGCTTGATGGTGATTTTTAGGCCTTCCGACTGTTACCACTATAAAGACCTAGAATACCCAATAATAGCATGCACATTTTCGTTTGACTATACTTATTCCAATCTTAAAATTATAACACACATTGAAACGATAACAAATAACATGTTGGTATTTTAGCTAAAGGGCTCCACTTATTTTGGAATCGATCCTTGAAAAAATTAACACGACCTGCATGCTAGGGTTAATTTTCAAAGCTCCCCTTGTGGACATGCGCGCACAAGTTATCTTTTGGACTTTTCGTGGTAACAGCTTTTGCCTCGTACCCAGAGGACTTACTGGGTCCAGTTCGCACCCTCTAGCAAGCTCACGGAATGAAATTTTGCACAGTGAACAAGTGACATCACGATATCTCCTAGGATATTGTCTCTTAGTAGACGAAATTTCTTGTCATAAATGTTGTGGGCCTGTGATTTCCAGGAACAAGAATGTCCGTGGACAGAGTATGCCGGTGTTGAGGTACAGAAGAAAGAAGTGTCAGTCTGTTCGACCAGTAAGAAAGGCGAATGAATTCTTCCCTCATTGTGATTTGAAGGAAATACTCCACTTTAATTTGAAGATCTGTGAAATTTCTGCAGCAATAGAGTGCCGCTGGAAGAAGCGCCAAAACTTACTAGTAAATCCAAAAATACTGTGATGGACTGGCTCGATTACTCTTGGGATGTCTGCTCGGGAATTTTATTGGTTGCCAGAAGAGGAAAGCCGAATAGAATCCCGGAAAACCCAGTAAAAGTCGACGAGGCCGGATTTGCGGGGCGCCGTAAGT